ACGAAAGACCTTAATAATAATAAGAAACAGAGTAAAAACAATATGTTCCCCAACTTCGTTTGGGGAACATAATAACTTGTATTGGTTTTATAGACATACCCAGGTATACTGCATTTATTTTGTGTACAGATCCAGTATATTTTTCTTGGTTGGTTGAGTTGCATCAAAAATTTTTCAATCCACAAAAAAACCCCAAATTCTTCTTTTTTAAACACGTTTACAGGTGACAAAATTACATAGGGGTCTGTAATTTTGATGGAATTGTGCTGCGTCAGATTTTCATCACTTTATTTTAAAAACTGAATTACATAAATATCTCAAAAGGGGAGTGCTTCCCCCTCTTGCATCCAAGATTTTTGTTGTACATTACATTTTGTTAACCTTGGGATTTTTTGAGTCCTCCTCATTACTCTGCTTTAATTAAAATTAAATTCAAAAAAATTAAAATTCAGTCATTTACTCTCCATTTTTCTTAAACTTTCTGTACAAGAATTGATGTCATAAAACTGCATTTTAATTTCATTTGTATAACTAAAAGGTCCAAAGACTTTACTTTAAAGATCTGTTACCTGCTGCTCATTAGTTTTTAATAAATTGTATTCATGTAACTAGTGGCCCCATATCAGCCCGAGGGCTGATGTGACATATGATATGGATTTTAAAGGGTGTTAAGAAAGTCTGTTCCACATTTTTTTATGCGCCCGGATCGATAGATCCAGGGCGTATATTGTTTTTGTCCTGTCTGTCTGTTTGTTTGTTTGTCCCGAACTTTAACCTTCAACATAACTTTTGAACCATGAAAGATAGAGATTTCATATTTGGTACGCATACTCGTCTAATTAAGGTCTTTCAAAAGACACCAAGGTCAATGACCTTGTGACCTTAACTGTGGCCTTTATGCTAAAAATAGCTTTTTTTCTGCAAACTTTAACCTTTGCCATAACTTTTAAACCATGAAAGATAGCGACTTCATATTTGATATGCATACTCCACTAATTAAGCTCTTTCGTGACACCACGGCCAATGACCTCATGACCTTGACTGTGGCCTATATGCTAAAAATAGCTTTTTTCTGCAAACTTTAACCTTCGCCATAACTTTTGAACAATGAAAGATAGAGACTTCATATTTGGAATGCAAACTCCACTAATCAGGTTCTTCCAAAGGACACCAAGGTCAATGACCTTGTGACCTTGACTGTGACCCTTTATGCTAAAAATAGCTTTTTCCGAACTTTGTTGCCGCCGGGCGCATAGTGTTTCACAAACACATCTTGTTTAATTCTTGAAAAGATGTACGATGAGAAGATATTTACAATTTGTGATACTCCATGTTTACAGAGCCCATTCTTGCTACTGATAAGGTTTTAACTGTCTTTTGTTGAATCAATAAGAGGAGGGCAGGTATTAAAACAGGTGATGTCTGTTCCGCAAAATTTGGGATGACGCATATTTTTGACATATATTAAGCACACAGGTCAAAACATCCTTTCAAATACTATACGAAAATTATCAAATCTGTGAAAAATTTCAAAATGACAAACCTATTCTTTTTAAAAGTTATCTATCGTTCTTATAATTAGGCTCATCAGTTTGTCAGATGCAAGATAAGCTATGAAGAAACAAAAGTAAATGTCCTATATTTTCACTCAAAATGACCAGCATTTCTATCATTCGGGTGCTTTGAAGATGTCATATACATTTTCATATGGAAGGAAAATCCTATAACTTCCTGCTAGAAATGAATTGCTGTAAATCTAAAGCACACTCTTGTGGTCTTGTCAAACTTTAAAATTCATCTCTTTGATTAAGCACTACTTTGAAATGTTTGAAAATATTTCATCATGGAACGAACTTTCTCAACACCCCTTAGTATGTAGTACTAGTATTCTATTTATCATATATTCAAAATACTTAATATGCAAGATCACATATGGTCATTGAAGAATGTTTCGTGTTTGTTATGACCTTTTTCTTTAGAATCTAATAGAGCCAATTTTATGTAACTGAAAAAAAAATTAAGACAAAAAATTTCAATTAATAAAGAACTAGAAAACTGACCAGTCAGCAAGGGCCTGCTGAGGGGTAGAACAATAAGAGTGCAGCTTACGGAATGAGAATTTTACTTGATTTGATACTAAAAAAAAGTAAATTTAAAAAAAAAATATGAATAATATAAGCAACAACTGTATTTCTAAAATTTCAAGATAATTCCTGAATGTCCAAATATTTGCAAATAGTAACCTTGTATTTACATAAAACAGGGAAAACCTCATGTCTTATAATAACTCAATAAAATGTGTATTTAACAAAGATTTACACAGGTGCATGTTTTATAAAATGCTAGCCTTCAGTGAATGCCAATATCACCCAGCTTCAACTTCAAAACAAACATCAATTGCAGACAAAGGTGTTCATTAATTTTTCTGAGACAGATAAAGGTAAGCCTCTAAATTTTCTACAGCAAGCAAGATAATTTATCCCAGGGGATTAATTGTACTGCTCTCTCATCCTTTTCTTCTATATTTACAATAAGAACTTTTTTTTCGCTCTGACAGAATGGGATTATTATCTGATTACCTGTTATAATTAACAGCATTCAGGCAGCAAAATAAATAAATAATTAATTAAATTTTAAATAATAATTAAAGGATATCTTTATATGTATCTTTTTTTTAGAATTCAATAAAATCATAACTCATTGTGTACAGTATTTAAACCAAAATAAAGTACGAACATTATTTTAATCCATATTTCAGAGACTGTACACATCCTTTGAATTGACCTATCCCAAGGGACTCATTGCACAGCCTTCATAATCTCTCTTTGCCCATTCATTCTTATGCATAGTTAAGGAATCTACCCCACCACCCCAGCTCCAAACCAAAGGACATAGAGAACCAAACTTAGCATTAAAATATGTCTCTCTGCCTACTGAACTACCATACCAAATTTGAATGTAATAGCGCAACCATAAAAAAAAGTTATTAGTGAAAAATAGAAAATTTGTGGACGGAAGAATGACAAACGGACAGCTAGACAGACGGACAGATAGAATGATTACTATAGGGCACCCGCAAATCCTTGCAGGGCCCTAATTATTTTACATGAATATTTTAATAAAATCAAATTATTTAATTCTGGTTGTAATGCTGTATTTGATTGGATAAAAAATTTACTTCATATCGTATAAAATGGGCTGCCTACGTCACAATTACTTTTGTCAAAAACGTATCAATCCGCCTGACGTTACATTCAAATTTTGTACAAATTGAAGTCATTTTGTTAGAACAATCATCTTTTTTTCTTACATCAAATGAATGAAAATTAAATTATAAGCAATGAATTTAATAGCTACCCATTTTATATGGTATAAACTGGGTTGGAACAGTTTACGCTTTTTTATAAACCGCTTTGCGGTTTATAAAGCGTAAACTGCCCCAACCCAGGTTATACCGTATAAAATGGGTAGCTATTAAATTCATTCCTTAAGTAAATTAACTTTTAAACTTTATACAAACGTTACTTCCGTTTTGATATGGATTTTCTGCCCAACTGTCCAATACGAGATATGGATTTTTGGACCAGTCCTTGATATTGGGTATTGTGATGTCACCTGTATCGCACCGTGCAGAATCAGTGTTTATCAAATACTTAGTAGTAAATACATCGATTCAGCGCAGTACAATAAGGGTGACGTCACAATACCCCATATCACGGACCGGTCCGAAAAGCCGTATCACATATCGGACGGTGTCGAGTGGTTACCACCCGATTCCGTGTTCGACCCGCGTGGTAACGACCCGAGTGGTTTCGACCTGCTTATATATGTATATACAGGTAAATAGAGGGGTTCACGCTATAGGGATACATGGATATTCGGTAGCGCAATTATATGTCTATGGTTTCAGGTATCGGGGGAAACGTGTCATTAATTGGTTGTCAACATTGAAGTCAGTAGTAAAGATGATTTCGTAATGACTTTAGGACAAGGATGTAATTAATTTCATTTGAAATATGATAATAATTTATATATGAGCATTTTTCCTTAAAAATAAATTAGCTCTTGATGGGATAATTATTGAATTTATTATCTAAATGTATATTTAAATGTTTTCTTATTTACTTATTCACAGAATACAAACATAAAGTGTCAAAACATATTTCTGCAGACTTATACTGGTAAACTTATGAACAAAATATGCATGTTTATATGCGGTAGACAGGGAGTGATAAAATATTTTGTACTATTTTTATTTCAAAACTAAAGAGTTGTTTTAATCGGGTAATCTTTAAATTCTATATATATGGTATTTTTCCAAGTTAAAAAAACATCATAATTATCGATATTTTTACTTATAAACAGTATGGTCGATTCAGAAAATCTGAATAATTTGAATTATAACAAATATTAATAAATATTAAACTATCGAAAATCATTGTAAATTGTTAATTAATATTAATGCGGATCGAAACCACTCGGGTCAAAACCACGTGGGTCGAACAAGGAATCAGGTCGTAACCACGCGGATCGAACAAGGAATCGGGTCGTACCCACCCACATTCATATCGGACCGGCGGGCAGAAAATCCATATCAAACCGGAAGTAATGCTTGTTAAAAGTTAATTTACTTGATTTTATTTAAATATACATGTAAAATAATTCTTAAATAACATTTCTGGTCTTAATTTTTTTTCAGTTACCAAAAATTGGCTCTATTAGATTTTTAAGAAAAAGGTCATAAACAGGCATGAAACATTCTTCAATGACCATATGTGAACTCGAATATTAAGTATTTTAAATATATGATAAATAGAATACTACATACTAAAATCCATATCATATGTCACATCAGCCCTCGGGCCTTCGGCCTGATATGAGGCCACTCGGGCTGATATGACATATGATATGGATTTTAGTATGTAATGTTCTCTATATATACTACTAAGAATATTTAAATTAAATTGCAGTGACACTAATGTTACAGGACAAAAGACAAATTCATATTTAATTTTACTTACCCTAAGTTCATTGAATCTTAATGCGTACATGCAGATGTAAGAAAAAATATTATTTACAGAACTATGCTACAACCATTAGTGATATCTCAGATATGTTATTATTTTGACACATAACTATCCAATAAATATTTGCTCATTCAAATTGTTGTCCTTTCATATTCCCACATAATCTATATTCAGATGGTGAACTAAGTGTAAACTTTTAAGAGATATCACTGAAATCTATGTCAAATGTCCATCATATGTAGTCTCAGAGTGGTGATTATTAGAATGCAATCTTTTTCTTCTTTTTCTTTGGTTCATTCTTCTTTCTCTCTTCATCCTCCAGCTTTCTCTCCAGTGCTTGTCTCCTGAGTAACTCCGTGTCCTTGACCGGCGATGGCTCTGCGGAGCTGCCACTCTTGGCTGGACTTTTTTGTGGAGAGTTGTTTGCGGATTTAACAGGACTGCGGTCAGCCAGAGAGGCGGGCAATCTGTTGGTTTCCCATGAATTAACAGAAGGAGTCTTCTTATCCTCCAAAGACTCATCGGTCTTCTCCTCTGCTGCCACTACTCGAGTCAAATATGCGTAACGAGTCATGATTTGTCTGTACAGGTCCTGATTGTCCTCGGAAAACCCTGAAGTTCCGAGTCGCTTCACTTCCTCTTCAAAATCTTTTGACATAATCATGTCGTTCTCAAATGCTGTGGTTACAAACATGGCAGTTTCTATATGCTTTCTAGATGTTTTGGCCCCTTGAGATTTGTAGTCATCAATTTCTTTATCTTTAGCTTCAATAATTTTTACCAATTCTTTATTACGACGAGTTAATTCAGCAACCATTGCTAGTAAAGGAACATTGAAGTTCTCTGAAATCATGCTGCTATCTGTCTCCTCACAATGAAACTGCCAAACAAAAGCCATTCCTGCCAACTGTGAATCCACATTTATAACAAATTTATTCTTTTTGGGTGATGCTGATAACTTAGTTTTCTTTGAGGGATTTTCTAGGCAGTTCTGTATTTCATCCAGAATTCTTGTTGGGGTTGCTTTCACATTTGGATTTAGCGTAACAGTTCGTTCTTCCAAATCTTCTCCTTCGAGTTGTTCAAACCAAAACTTCACATTGTCTGTAATCAGTAGTTCGTATGAACTGTGTGTATACTTGCATTTGAACAGATATTGTTGATTGGCAATCGTTATCGGTTGCCACGGACATGCTTTCAAATCTGGTTTCCATTTCCGCCTCCACTCTACTTCTGACATTTTCAGTTGCAGCACTTCTGAGTTTTGTGTCTTCTCTTATCACCGGACTCCCGAGGCGGGTCATAAATCCTACTTTCGTTTTCACTTCACGCAAGGCTAAAGCAATCGGAGTTCCTCGGATGACTCGTACCTCGCACATAACCTCGGACGTCAACGGTGATCTTCCATCTTGCTGATTCAGTCATGTGATCTTATTTGAATTTCATTCAAATATCATACTTTTGAAATCCGAGTTACTTTGATGCACGCCCAACACTGTGTTCTTGCTTTCAAAGAATACTAACATTTGGTTGTAATTAACACGAGGAATTACACTAATAAAGAAACCTTTTCTAAGAACTTTAAGCAGAGCGAAATATGAAATGAGTGACAAGGCACTTTCCGGCGGAGAAATGTAGCGACTGATGCGTATTCCTCCACCTATCACATCCGAGGTTTGAATGGAGCGTAGCGGAGTCAGCCGAGGATTGCCGATTGAGGCTAAACACAAGAGTAGACTATTCGCAGTAGGGTTATAAGAAAGATTTGTTTTATTTCATTGAAATAAAAAAAATCATAGTTATATATTTATTTATTAAATAATTCGATTTAATTTTAAGGTTGAATTTTAATTTAGAAGAGTATATATTTTTAAAGTGCAATTAATATATTTCGACGGACCATAAGGACTTTACTGGTATTATTCAAGCGTAAGTATTACGTAATGGCGGGAGATAGAGCTGGAGGCAAAAAATGAGGGAAAATGGAAAAACGTGTATCATGAATTGACAACCAATTTTCACGATGACTAAGACCTGTAAACGATATAAGATTTCTTTGAAAGGTACGAATTCAATCTTCATGGTGTCATTGCACCAAAACCAGCATTTTATGTGAACAGGAATGTGAATTAATTTCGCAGAAAAAATTCTGAAAGTGAAAATGTACATTCATTTAGGGTATATTCCGAATCACATTTTACATTTTGACTGCAGATGATTTTAACAAAAAATTTTCACATGGATGTTTGGTATCAAAGGAAAGCCAATTTAGTGAAAAATTATATCTACTTTACAGAACGAGTCTATCTTCGATACAGCGACCTTGACGGGGGTTATATTTGGACCACCTTTTTAGTGTATTGCGAATCACTTCCGGGTATTTCGAATCACCAGGTAAATGGGTCGAAAACGATCAGATAACATCATCATAATTAATGAACTAGTCAGTATTGTTTATAAAAAGCCCCAAGAATAAAACGAATTAAAATTTTCTCGATTGTTCTTGTTTATTTGAAAGTTATCAACACCCCCCTCTTTATTCGCACTATAAAACAGCTTTTCAGAAGCGGATCATGCAGAAAACTTATAAGGCAATTATTACCAAGAAAGAAAGGGGTTTCAGAAATTATATGACTGAAAATTGTTGTCCTGTAAATATAATTATGTCACTTTTTTGCCCCTGTGATTTTTTTTTCGCCGCAAAACAATAAATTAAAATCTCATAATTCTACGAATCGGATACCAAAAAAAAAAAAGATATACATGTAATGATGATGATAATAAAAGAAATGTGTGAAAAGGAATAAAACCTAGCTCTTGTTAAGATATACCTATCACAATTATTAAATATGACATAAATCACTGCATATACGTAAACAGTGTACATATATGTGTACGTATGTATACTAGTATGCGCGCAAGTCCATATTTACACATGTATGATAAAAGGATCAACACTGGTCAAGCTACTCATTAACCCTTCACTGCTTTTCCATTTTATAATTTTCATAGGTCCCTTGCATGTAAAGAAAACCGATGTTATCAAAATATCGGGCATATAACAAGTATGCAGCGTTTGCAATTTCTTCAGTTGCGGCCATGCACATACATGTATGTGATTCGAAATACCCCAAACTGTAGGGGGCTACAAATGCGGTTGTAACATATACATTTTTAAGGTTTAATGAAAAATTATTAATGCTCCTGAAAGTTCATAAAACTGCCGTTCTATCAATACCTAATATGCTAGGCTTCATCCACCAACAACGCCACGACATCGATGAGAAATATTCTGCAACGTTTATACACGGAAATTTTCTTCGAAAAGGATAGCAAGTTAAGGAATGAAATGATTATTTTTTTAATTAATGCATTAAGTTTACCTCTTTATTTTTTGTATGTATTAAGCATGAACCATGTTGTTAATGACTACATAGTTGTCACACGTGTGCATGTGTCGTATAAGATACAGCGATAAGGTAAATTACCGAGTGTCGCGAAATGCGGGGTGATTCGGAATACCCTAAATGACTGTAGTCGCGAATATACATTATATCCAATCCTGTTTCAGTTGTTTATAAGTCTGAAAGTTTCCAGGGATTTATCTAGCTATTTTGTTTTACTACCGTTTTATATATAAAGGGGAAAGATGAGAGCCGCAGGCTCGATATGAGCGCCGGAGGCGCGAGTTTTCTAGGGGGGTTTTAAATCAATGGAGCAAAATCCTGCATTCTTAGAGCTTCTGAGGGTCATTTGTAGACCTTTACAAAGGCCACAAAAACTTCACTTTTTAGACAAAATATTAAATAGCAAAAAAAAAAAAAAAAAAATTAAACCAGGTCAGTACTTTATTTAATTTTTCTCTGAATATCTATCACAAATCAATTCTGTTTTTCATGTTTCACTACTAACATTGTTTTTGTTGTTACTCCATTCTTCCAATTCATAGTGATACAAGCTCCATTTTACTCATCTATTTCATTTTCTTTTTAACTCTGCAATTGCATACGTATCTTTCGACATCATGGACTTGGCACATGTTTACCGATCAATATCGAATAAAAGCTTGAATAATCTATTCTCTCTTTTAAAAGCGTTTGAATGACTAGGATGGTAAATTAGGATATGCTGTTAAACTTCAATCGGACAAAAACGGAAAATCTCGGAACGATGTTTTAAATATTCTCTGTTTAATCGGAGAATTTTCTATCTGAAAAAGGGGAATTTTTTAACCTTTTTCAAGAGGGGAAAGGTACCGTTTACCGGTAGTAAAAACAGCCTTGATAAATCCCTGGTTTCTGAATGTAATAATTTCTATTTAATTAGTAAGGGAAGAATATTTTTAACAAATATGATGGGTAGAAAGAGCTAGGGGGCTGAGTTAAATGACATCTAACGCTATATAACTTTACTGTAGATAAATGCTCCTGAGTTGACAACTGTGTTTAACTTTACTTAAGCAGTCAGGCAAACTCCAAAAATGAAGTTAACAGAAGTAAGAAATTTAGACTGAAAAAGACTGAGCAGAAAAAAGAGTTTGCGCATGCACAGATAAACAAAAAATGTCGATTTTTCATAGGTCCACAAAAACTCTCCATGCAAAGTTTTAGAAAGCGTGGCAATTATACCAGTACTCAGAAATGTTACATAAAAGACGTCTTAAGACATCGTATTTGCTAAACTTTCGATTTTATTTGCAAATAAAGAGATATTTACTTTCAAAGTTGACGTTTCAAATCAGATCAATTACAGAGAAAAGTAAACTTTTGAGAATTAGATGTGCATGATAAAAGTGAAATATATGTAATATTTAATTATATAACATTTTTGAATAAGTTTTTTATTATATCACAAATGTAATAAGTTTCGCTATAAACCCTGAAAAATTCTGCGTCACACCGAAAACGGTTATGTCACGCCGGAAACAGTTATGTCACCCCCGACGGAAGCAATTATGTCATCCTCTCGATCACGTTCACGTGTTTTTGCGTTACGCATTTCAGCTCGGATTCGAGATTTTACGACGTAGGTTGCTAAGCAAATATAAACAAGGGAACGTTATTCTTAACGTCAGGAAAGCATTTTCGGATTATTTGTGTATATTTCAAATGATTTATTTTTTTTTCAATTTTAAAAATGTCATATAACATATACCCCACGGCTTCTCGGGCAACTATACCAGAATATTTGCAAATCGGTGACAGGAAAGCCCTGGAGTGTTATGTCACCCTCTGCCTTCTGCATAGCGTGACATAACACTCAAGGGCTTTCCCGTCACCTCGGGGCATATATTCTGGTATGTCACCCTCGAGGCCATGTTATATATGTATAATATCTGTAGTAATTGTTAAAAATTTGACTGAATTTTACACATAATTATTTTGGCATATGTAATCATATATGATATCTGAATTAAGTGCCTAAGTTTTCGACATCATTATTTACAGATTTATCATCTGTATGAACAGATATTATCATGAAAACATTTTTCAAACTATAATTTATCAATTTGAGAACGTTAAAAAATCTCCATTTTAAAATTAAAGATAAAAAATTCTTCCCAAAATGACTCTGTTACATCTCTGCCCCGTGGCGAAAATTGTGCATTTTTTGATAAAATAAATACGATGTAAGGGTCTTGGAAGTAAAATTTAAGCATCGTTATTGTAGTTACAGCATAAAATTTTAAACAAGGAGACAATAGATTAAGTAAAGAAATTAATTCTTACAGACAGTATTGAATCCGATGTCGTGTATCCAAAATTAAACTTAAGCAATAATACAAGGCGATAAATAAGTCAATATCCACTAAATGATTGAATAAGTGCAATTAGTTATTCACTGAAAATTTTTAAAAAGTCACAGTTTTACCAAATACAGCAATAACGCGGTTATATATTTAGAGAAAGCGAAGAACAATTCATTGTTTGTTTACATAGGATACCATTTTGCCGCAATGCATGACGGAGCCAATGACTTCTTTTTTGGAGTTCATGCTGTTTTTAGAGTTCGTCTAGACTGTTTATGGTAGATAAATGCTCCTGAGTTGACAACTGTTTACTTTACAGTAGATAAATGCTCCTGAGTTGAAAGCTGTATAACTTTACGATGGAGAGGCTGAATAGTTCCAATCATCCACAGTTCCATCTGAAGAGAATCGGACAGACTCCTAACAGACCAAGGGTCGTCACTGTCATGGAGTGAGTTACAAGAGTAGGACTCGAGAGGAAAATATTTTTACATTCTGTGATAATTATAAGTTAACATAAGGACACACTGATATATTAGTCTTTATTAGATATAATATTTCCTTTATTTTGGAAACAAGATGCAAGGCAAAAAAGGAATAAAAATAAAAAGTAAAATGTTATATATTTTGAATCTCACTTGTTTGATTTTTGTTCTATATATATACATGTATTTTAAGAATTCTTCCTAGTGGAGTAAAAAATACTAATTCACAAAAGTATACGTTAGAAAATTTCCGATTTGAAAAAGAAGTCTTGTGTTTAGTTTTTACAAGGTAACGAGTGTCATTGGACGAAATGGTCTAGAGGTGGATTTCTACATCGATTCTGATAACCGAGTACAGTCTCAGATGATTTCCCGAAGTCACGCTCGAGTGGTTCGACAACCAAACAACGACCATAAGTTGTTTGATGATAGTTTGAATGGCATCTTTGTGAATCATATTAAGATAAGAGGTAATGTAAAATTTAAAAAAAAAAAAAAGGTGTGATTGGCATCCCATTTGAAAAAAAAACAATATGTTTATCAATTAAGATGTTGATATATTTAATTTTTAAAAAATCTATGGAAATAAATGTTCTTTATCCATTGAAATATTGGATATCAGAGGTATAGTTTATTTGACATATTTCTAGGCAATTGTATAGAATATCGATATTATATGCAATTACGAAACCTGTTTTTATTGCATGAAAACAATAAGTATTATGCATTTATTGCAGAGAAATGAGGAATATATTGTTTAATGGCCCTTTTCCTCTGAAGAGCAATAATTATTAAAGCCTTTTTTATTGCTGTAAAACAGTATTTCATGCACATTGTAGCAGATACACACTATTTTGTTGGATTGTTTTTTACAAGACTGACTTGAGAATATCACTGTTATTCCTCCTGCAGGGAATGTTATTTTGTCTGAGGGGGATAGAGTGACCTTTGGCCACCCTGTAGGGCGAGACATTCCATTTGGGACATGGGAAAGACAGGTCAACAACCACCACCAGTTTATTGTAAGGACTATACGTATACATTGTGGTAGACAAAATTCGGAATCCATCACATCTACAAGGATGTGCAATTATAAAAGTTTTATTCTAGCCGTGGAACATGAATCTACAAGCCTTATAGGTGCTCATTTACCATGGCTACCTGAATTAAATTTACCCAATCACCTTGTAGATAGACTTTAAAATGACTTTTTACATTCAAAGAAAACAAAGGACAAGTGCACTTAAGCAATACTTAATGGGCCCTTTTTATGTGCCATTTTACTTCAGAATATATTACCAAATCGTTCTCTATTGGTAATAGTTAGATACTAGTGGATATTTCTAATTAAAAAGCATGTTAATCGCCACTTAAATCAGCATGGATTTGAAACAATTGAATATTTTTAAATGCCTATGGATACCCTATAAATCCGGAAAAGTCGTACCGAACCTTCTTTTAGTTTCGTTTATGTAAATCAAGGGGAATAGATATTTTAAATCGATTCTTGAACAATATGATGATGGATCATAGTCGGGCGCGTTTGCGGAATGATATTTCTTGCGCCAAACCTGTTTTTAAAAGTATTGAATGAAGTTGTGTAGTTGCCTGTAGCTAAAATGATTAAACCAAGAAATTGGTACTCTTGCATCTGAAAAATTACAATAATAGTTACATTGAATTTGAAATTAAAAAGGTGTGTTATAGGTGGCTTTCAATACCTGTTTCATTGTCTTGCATGAAGGTTAAAAAATGTTTGACACTTTATAAACGACACTAAGTTCTCTTTACCCTCCCGTGTTCTAAAAAACAAATACATACGAACATCTCTAAGCGGCACGATTTTGACTTACTATTTTTTAAAGCAAAATCTGCCTATGTTTTACAGTGAGCACTTTTGAGGAATGTTTACCTGGGTAGAACTCACGTGACTATCAGTATTTTTAATAATTTATTCTACACTCGGGTTCAACATGGGTCATACAGGTAAATAGCTCTCTCTTGCTACAGGAAAAACATTGTACTTTTTATACATTTTTAATATTTTAAGTACGAGCCTAATCGTGTGCAAATTTCATACTTACACACAAGTTTTATAAATGTTTTATGCGCCTTTTGTCATTCGCACAAGTTTGCACAACGTTAGGCTCATAGTTAACAAAAGCTTTGAAATGAATGACCGTTCTCGATTTACTATAGAAAATCACAAATGTCAGCTGACCCCTACCACATTGTTAAGTTTTGTTCTTTGTACATGCGTGGATTTCAGCGGTAAAATTTGTTGAATCGTACGGTTTAGATATCAATTAATGATTTGAGATGAAAAATTTTGCTTAATTTGATTTTTTATTTTTTCACATTTTACCGGGGCCCATAAGTGCACTCGTTCTTTTTGCACTGTATTAATTTGCTTATTTTATAAATATTTTCAGTTTGAAAAGTGTTGCTGTGAAGTTAAACCTACCAGGAGAGTAAGTCCGTGAAGGAAAATGTAATATATGGATACAATGATTAATTTTATTGAAAATGTCAATGATCTTGCATTGAATTTTATTATACCTATAAAGGTACTAAGAACTAGAAGCCATTTTATTTCTCTCTGCAGACTCCAGTGAAGGGACAATTTGCTGTTCCTAGGAAACTCACCCCCAAGAAGTTGGCTTCCAAAAGAGAGAGAAACCAGACCAGGACCTTCACTAAAAGTGATATTTTAACACTAGTAAGTACTCTGCCATAAGATCTGTTGCTATAGGCTTTTATTAGCTCTTCTGAGCCAAAGGCTCAAAGAGCTAATGCTATGGACATTTGTGCGGTGTGCGTAAACTTTTTAGAATATGGGCCATAACTCAAGAACCCCTTGGCCAATCAGTGTCAAATTTGCCTAAGGGCTACCATTTATTGTAAAATAAGGGTTGGGATAAAATAAGGGTTGGGACCCTTAAACAAGGGAAGATAATCAGGAAAACAAAACCAAAAGTACTGGTTGCTAAAAAATCTCCTCCTCCAGAACTACCAGGCAAATTTTCACCAAACTTACATACAAGGATGAGGATATGTTGAAGATTAGAATTTGCACAGGGAATTACCCTGGGACAAAGGGCGTGGTCTCAAGGTCACTTCAAAGTTGACCTAAATTTAGAATTGATAAAAACGTTTATATTTTGCTTATTATAAGGACTAGGATCATCAAATCTTGTAAGTTGATGCATCTTAGGACTTCACATCATGTTAACTCAAAAGTAGGTCACTGTGACCTACTTTTTGAACTTTGCAGGCAATTGTTTTCAAATTGATTTGAAGGCATATTTTAGACACTTTAAGGCCTATGATCATTAAACTTTGTCAGTTGATGCATCTTGGATCGTCAAACAATGTCAACTTAAAAGTAGGTCATCATGACCTACTTTTTGAACTTAATGACTTATTCCTTCTAAAACATTTAATCCCATTGTTTCGGACACTAAGAGGTTTAGAATCATCAAATCTTGTAAGTTGCTGCATCTTGGGACCTTAAATCATATTTCAGACCTAAGACCACCAAATTTTAGATGCATCTTGGGACTTTTAAAAACGTCGACCAAAAAGTAAGTCACAGTGACCTACTTTCGACATTAGGTATTTATTAACTTAGAATCATCAAAGTTTGTGAGTTGATACATCTTGGGTTTTCGGAGAATGACATTCTAAAAGTAGGTCACAGTGACCTACTTTTGACATTTTATGGCATTATTTAAATATCTCCGGTACTTATTGGCTTAGAATCATCAAAATTTGTGTTTTAATGCATCTTGGGTTTTCGGAGAGTGACGACGAAAAAGTAGGTCATGGTGATATACTTTTTACATTTTATGGCTTTATTTAAGTATCTCCGGTACTTATTGTCCTAGAATCATCAAACTTTGTCAATTGATGCATCTTGGGTTTTCGGAGAATGAGGTTCATAAAGTAGGTCACGATGACCTACTTTTGACATTTTTTGGCTTTATTTAACTATCTTTGGTATTTATTTTCTTAGAATGTGTTGATGCATCTTGGGTTTTCGGAGAGTGATGATGAAAAAGTAGGTCATGGTGACCTACTTTTGACATTTTATGGCTTTATTTAAATATCTCTGGTACTTATTGGGTTAGAATCATCAAACTTTGATTGTTGATGCATCTTGAGTTTTCAGAGAATATCGACAAAAAGTAGGTCATGTTGACCTACTTTTGAATATCTCAGGTACTTATTGGCTTAGAATTATCAAACTTTGTCAGTTAATGTATCTTGGGTTTTCAAAAATCCTCTACTTAAAAGTAGGTCACAGTGACCTACTTTTGACATTTTATGGCTATATTTAAGTATCTTGAATACTTGTTGGCTTAGAATGATTAAATTTTGTCAGTTGATGCATTTTGGGTATTCCAAGAATGTAGACAAAGAAGTATGTCAAAGTGACCTACTTTTGACAGTTTATGGCTATATTTTAGTATCTTGGGTACTTATTGGCTTAGAATCCGTAAACTTTTTCAGTTGGTGCATTTTAGATTTTCAGAGAATGCAGACAAAAAAAGTAGGTCATGTTGACCTACTTTTAAATATCGCAAATACTTAGTGGCTTAGAATCTTCAATCTTTGTCTATTAATGCATCTTTAATCCTCAGAAAACTTCAATCTTAAAGTAGGTCATTGCGACCTAATTTGTTTTTTTTATAGCTTTATTAAAATATCTTCAGTCCTAATTGAATAAGAATCACCAAACTTTGTCAGTTGATGCAACTTGGGTCTTACGATACTTAGGGTTAGAGGCTTCAAATAGAAGTGATAGATAATGTACAATTTATCAGAAGAGCGATTCAAGGCCCTTGGGCCTCCTGTTAGCTCACCTGACAATTGTAAGTACTCTGCCATAAGATCTGTTGTTATAGGCTTTTATTAGCTCACTTGATCATTGTAAGTACTTTCCAACATGATCTGTTAAAATGCGGTAAAAATATGTTTCATTTCATACTGGTACTGATAACAGTATTTCTTTATCTTATAAGATTAAACTACATGAACATTCAAAATAATTATGCCCCCCTTCGAAATTGCTTTGCTGCTGTCGTATTTTTTACGGATTTGTAGTATAAAATACGTCTCACGTTTTGCCATTATGAAAATATGGAAATCTGAAATAAATTAGTTTACAGGATATCACATTAACAGTTAGTTTTCTGTTTTGATCTGTCACACCATTTCCTTTATTTATCGCTAAATAAGAAAAATTTCAATTACCTAAGCGATATCCGGTTGCCAAAACGCTATGGTATTACAAAATGACAAAGACCTTGTTGTTATATCACATGTTTTTGTAATCTAGGTCAAGTTTTTCTTTGGGTTCAATATATGTAAAATTGATGGAAAATGAAATCTATGCCCATTGGACAAATTGGAAAAATTCCAATTTTGAGAGAGGGGCAACGTATTTTAAACAGGTCTGCTACATGAACATTCAATAAAAGATTCCCCCCTTCCAAAATTGCTTTGCTGCTGTTGAAAGGGTAGGATGATTAACCAAATGGATACTTACTTTCCGTTCATTTTCTTTGCAACCATTGCACATACTGAGGTTGAAATTTGGTATACAGATATATCACATGAACATTTTAAAAAGTTTTTATTGGGTACAATCACACCATTTTTGACCGCCCCTTGGACTTAGAAAAATTTCAATTATTTGCAGTTTCTGTTCATTTTCTTTGCAACCGTTGTACATATTTAAACTTCAAGAAATCTTTTGGAAAAAAACAAATATATCACATGAAAATCTAGGTCAACTTCTGTTTAAATTACAATAATCCATCAAAATTTTATATGACATTTTCCCACTTTGAAATTGGAAAAATTCCAGTTTTGGGGTTTAGACTTTCATTTCAAATATTTTAAAACATCTTTAACTTTAATAATATTTTATGTATGAGTTACCAAAATTTGAATTTCACTTCCTTCATTATGGTAGGATGATTAACCAAATGGATACTTACTATGATACTTGCTTACTACTGACGACATTCAAGGTTGGCAAGGTTTGGAAATCAGAATGAAATGAACAGATTTTAAAAATTTTATCATAATTGATTTATTCTCAGAATTAAAGTTCTGAAGAATCAAAGAAAAGTTAATTTTTAACCATAATTTTAATTTTTTAAATGACATAATGAAATAAATTTTTTAAAACCAGTTATGAAATGTCATGAAATTTCCAACTCCAAGGGCCTGGGTCCCATTCCAAAAATGGAGTGGAAAATGCCTGATTTAATTTAAAAAAAAACACACATAAAAAATATGAAAACCATTCATGAAAATGAAAAAAAAAACACGCATAATAAAAATATAAAAACCATAAGTGAATGGAAATACTCCATGTACTTGGTTGGCTATTAACATGATCCGTTTATTTTTTTTTTTTCAGAAAAGAAAAAGTGAAGAAGCAGCAGCAGTTACAGGGGAAGACAACTCCGCATTATCACAGACTGAAGCCGTGAAAATTCTCCAGACAACTTCTTCCTTGGGAGAAACAGAGAAGTCATTTACTGAGAAGCCTAGGAAAGTCTGTCCTCAGAACACAGAAATTCTTTATCAAAGAATCTCAAATGAACAATCTGATGCAGAAGCAGCCGTATCATCAGATATAGGATCTCAGAAAGCTGAAATAAATACTGATTCAAGTCGAACAGACAAGATAGCACCAGCACAGCCACATTCTGATGTTTTAACAAATACTGAGGAAATAGCACCTAACCTTCCAAGTCAACAGGACTGTGCACCTGTTCCAGCAAGACCAGAAGATACAACAAATGTCCCCACTAAACAGGAAGACAGAGCACCTGTTTCAGAAAATCAGGATGTGGCACCTGTTCAAGCAAGTCCAGAGGACTCAGCACCTGTTCTAGCAAATCCAGAGGACAGAGCCCAAGTTCCATTAAGTCCAAAGGACAAAGGGCCTGTACTAGCAATTCAAGAGAACATAGCACATTTTCCAGCAGGTCAAGAGGAAAGAGAACCTGTTTCAGCAAGACAAGACAACAAAGAACCTGTATTTACCATTCAAGACAACATTGCACCTGTTCTAGCTGGACAAGAGGTCAGAGCCTCTGATCTAGTGAGTCAAGAGGACAAAGCACCTGTTAAACCAAAGACAGAGCCTGAGGAAAGAGCACCTGTTCAACCAAGTCTAGAGGATAGTGCATCTATTTTAGCAAGTCCAGAGGACATGGCACCTGTTGTAGTAAGTTCAAAAGACAGTGCACCTCTTTTAGCTAGTGAAGTTGAAAGAGTGCCTCCTCTACAGGGTCAAGAGAACAAATCACCTGATCGAGCCAGTCCAAAGAAAACACTAGATAATGCAATTCCAGAGGACAGAGCTTCTGTTACAACAAGTCCAGAGGACAGTGTACCTGTCATAGCAAGTCCGGAGGACAAAACACCTGTACTAGCAAGAGTAGAGGACAGAGCACCTGATGTAGGAAATCCAGAGGACAGGGCACCAGTTCAATCAAGTCCAGAGGACAGGGCACCTGATGTAGCAAGTCCAGAGGACAGGGCACCAGTTCAATTAAGTCCAGAGGACAGGGCACCAGTTCAATCCAGAGGACAGGGCACCAGTTCAAGCAAGTCCAGAGGATAGGGCACCAGTTATAACAAGTCCAGAGGACAGGGCACCAGTTTTAGTAAGTTCAGAAGACAAGGCAACAGCTGCAGTCAGTCCAGAAAAAAGTGCACCTGTTCTAGCAAGCTCAGAAGATAGAGCACCTGATCTGGCAAGTTCAGAGGATAGATCACCTGTTCTAGCCAGTCCAGAGGATAGAGCACCTGTTCCACAAAGTCAGGAGCATGAGGCAAGGTCTATGGAAGTATCTCTTGAGTGCGTGGAGGATAAAAAGAAAGAAACAGATGGCCCTGAGGATGTATCTTGTCAGATGAGCTTCAGAACATCAGAGGCCACTAGCATTACAGTAACATCCGTGTCAGCAAATGAAGCGACTCTTTCAGATGGGAATAAGCTGGATGGCTCTCGATTGGTTTTGTCAGATTCCATAGATTACAGCTATGATGAGTTAGAGATGGACAATGATGTCTTGTTTGATGACACTGAGGACAGGGCTGTTGTAAATGAGGTGGCAGAAGTAATTTCAAAAAACCATAATGACAACCATAATGCTACAAATGGTATGTAACATAGATTCTATTTTCATAAATAAATCACAAAGGACATGGGTTCATTTGAGCATTTCTGAACATATTTTTAGCTCTTCTGGTCAGAGACTAGAAGAGCTTATGCGATAGTAATGCGTCGGTCATCCGTCTGTCCAGCTGTCTGTCCGTCTGTCTGTCTGTAAAAAATTTTTCAAAATGGTATTCCTCCTACAGTTTTGTTTTGATTTCAATATAACTTGGCACACAAGTAGACTACACTAAGATGCTTAATTCTGTATATCAGTTTTTGATTTCGATGAACGATGTTGCCATGGTTACTAAAAATAGAAATTTCTGTGAAATGTTTCAAAATGCTACTCCTCCTACAATTTTGGACCGATTTCAATATAACTTGGCACACAAGTAGAATACACTAAGATACATAATTCTGTGCATCAGTTTTTATTAGCTCTACTGGTCAGAGACCAGAAGAGCTTATGCGATAGTAATGCGTCCGGCGTCCGTCCGTCTGTCTGTCTGTCTGTCCAGCTGTCCGTCTGTCTGTCCGTCTGTCTGTAAACAATTTTTAAAAGCGCTACTCCTCCTACAATTTTAGTCTGATTTCAATATTACTTGGCACACAAGTAGACTACACTAAGATACATAGAATAGTGCATCGGTTTTTGATTTCGATGAACGGTGTTGCCATGGTTACTAAAAATAGAATTTTCTGTGAAATTCCTTTAAAACGCTACTCCTTCCACAATTTTGATCTGATTTCAGTATAACTTGGCACACAAGTAGACTACACTAAGATACATAGAATAGTGCATCGGTTTTTGATTTCAATGAACGGTGTTGCCATGGTTACTAAAAATAGAATTTTCTGTGAAATTCCTTTAAAACGCTACTCCTTCTACAGTTTTGGTCTGATTTCAATATAACTTGGCACACAAGTAGACTACACTAAGATACATAGAATAGTGCATCAGTTTTTGATTTCGATGAACGGTGTTGCCATGGTTACTAAAAATATAATTTTCTGTGAAATTCCTTTAAAACGCTACTCCTTCTACAATTTTGGTCTGATTTCAATATAACTTGGCACACAAGTAGACTACACTAAGATACAAAGAATAGTGCATCGGTTTTTGATTTCGATGAACGGTGTTGCCATGGTTACTAAAAATAGAATTTTCTGTGAAATTCCTTTAAAACGCTACTCCTTCTACAATTTTGGTCTGATTTCAATATAACTTGGCACACAAGTAGACTACACTTAGATACATAGAATAGTGCATCGGTTTTTGATTTCGATGAACGGTGTTGCCATAGTTACTAAAAATAGAATTTTCTGTGAAATTCCTTTAAAACGCTACTCCTTCTACAGTTTTGGTCTGATTTCAGTATAACTTGGCACACAAGTAGACTACACTAAGATACATAGAATAGTGCATCGGTTTTTGATTTCGATGAACGGTGTTGCCATGGTTATTAAAAATATAATTTTCTGTGAAATTCCTTTAAAACGCTACTCCTTCTACAATTTTGGTCTGATTTCAATATAACTTGGCATACATGTAGACTACACTTAGATACATAGAATAGTGCATCGGTTTATAATTTCGATGAACGGTGTTGCCATGGTTACTAAAAATAGAATTTTCTGTGAAATTCCTTTAAAACGCTACTCCTTCCTCAATTTTGGTCTGATTTCAATATAACTTGGCACACATGTAGACTACACTAACATACATAGAATAGTATATCGGTTTTTGATTTCGATGAACGGTGTTACCATAGTTACTAAAAATAGAGTTTTCTGTGAAATTCCTTTAAAACGCTACTCCTTCTACAGTTTTAGTTTGATTTCAAAATAAGTTGGCACACAAGTAGACTAAACAAAGATACATAAAATAGTGCAATGGTTTTTGATAAGTACAAACCAGTAGAGCTACAGTCTCGACAGAGATTTCTGGTTTTGATGAGCGGCAAGGATCATTTTTCTATTTATTGCTGTTTTAAAGTTTCAAGTCTCAACCATTTCTTTTCTCTTCTTTTGTTTTAAGTATAAACCAGTAGAGCTACAGTCTCAACAGAGATTCTGGTTCTTAAAAATATTCTTTAAAGAAAGTTTGATCTCACAAAAAGGACAAAATGATGTGAAAATTGAACATGTATGTTTTAAATGATCATGTAGCATTACATGAGTTAATCATCTTGACAAATGAGATGGCATTTGCTCATAAAAAGATCAAATCAAAGATTCATCAAAAGTTTAAGTAGTCTCATGGTTTCGAAGTTTTATGTCAGGGTAGTACCATTACTTATGAAAACATTCAAAGATGAGAAGTATGTCATAGTTTATACTGCAAACAGGAATGATGATGTTTTGTAATTTTGTTTATTTAAGGAGTTTAGATTTTATGGTGTTGACCAACTTTCTGATGACTCCTTGTACATTTTTGTGTTGGGGGGGGTGTCACATTGTACAAGACAAGGAATATACCACTTAGATTATTAATGAATAGATTAAGTATAAACTCGTATTGAACCGTGAATGAGGCCCATCTTTTCAATCCCTATTCCTAACAGAAGATTAAGGGGGATACCAGTATAAAGGAGGATACGTCATTATAGGTGGCAGGGGTGTGCAATTAGAAAAATCAATTACTAGCCCACGGGCTAGTGGCAGCTATAAAGTTACTAGCCCAAAGTGAAAAGATACTAGCCCAAATATAGGGGCAAAAATTAATATAAAAAACTATATGTTGAAAAGAAATTAATATTTGAAAAAGTCAGGGTACTGAAGTCATTCTTTTTAAAATTAATGTTTAATTCTCACTATGAAATTAAATCATATATAAATTACAATGAAAGAAGATTAAAATGAATTTAAATAAATCATCTTCCCTTTTTTTCTGAACATTGAACTAGCTCATTTAGAATGAAATTTAATTCATTTTGTTTTCATCTTAAATCATTAAATACACTATAGATATATTTTATGTGAGTCATACCACTTATCTAATTCTTTCAGTTGATTGAGTGATCGTAAATAATTTAATGAGATATCTGCATGTATTTACCATAAACGAGAGAATAGAGGAAATTCGGATAAGGAAAAAACGATCGTTTTTGGAAGTACAACTGCAAAACAGATAAGATTATGGAGATTTATTGAGAGTATAAGCATGTTGTCTGAAAAAATTTCACTGGTTGGGAATTTGATAGCAAAAATGAGTGAAAATTCAGGTTGTGCTTTTCATGTATTGCGTGTGTAGTTATAATTTTAACTAGGAGATTCAATTATGGTAGCCCCGGGCGTGTACACCCCTTTTAAACTCTGGGTATAAAATAATTTTAAAAAATGGTCTTTTTAAAAAAAAGAAAAACATCTTTTGACAAAGAAGAAAGATTAAAGAGGTGTTTTTATTTACTTTCAGAAGAGGGGCCAGTGTTGACCATTTCCCCACATAAGGTGACCCGGACCAGTTTCTTGTTAGCAGACTCAGTAGACTACACTGTAAATAATTTGGAAGATGACGTTATAGCTGAGAGGGAAGACACTGAAAAGCATGCTGACTTGGAAGGCAACATCAGAAATAATTCGGAAGATGAAGTTAAAGCAGAGAAGGAAGAATTAGATGTGAGGCATAGCGACTCCGTAGACTACCCTGTAAATGATGGAGAGGACAGCAGTACAACAGTGAAGGAAGAAGACAGTGCAAAGCATACTGACTCTGTAGACCTCACTGTAAATGATCAAGAGGATGAAGCTACAGCAGAGAAGGAAGAAGGCAATCTGGAGGATGCAGAACAAACCGAAATAAAAAATGTGACAGTGGAGTTCAATAGGACTGAGTGTGACCAGCAGGAAAAGTGTGTTAATGATCTAGATGATGATGGATTTAGTGAAGTTTGGGAAGAGGAAGTAATGATGAGCGCAGAAGATGAAGAAGTGAGGGATGGATATCAGAACAAAAAAATGATGACTGGAAAAGACATCCCTGGTGAAGATGTGATAGAAAAGAAAGACAATATCAGTGTAAAGATGAAAGAAAAGGAAGACATCTCAAGTGAAGAGGTGATAGAAAAAGAAGACATCATCAGTGAAGAGGGAATAGAAAAGAAAGACATCCTCAGTGAAGAGGTGATAGAAAAGGAAGACATCCTCAGTGAAGAGGTGATAGAAAAGGAAGACATCTCAAGTGAAGAGGTCATAGAAAAGGAAGACATCATCAGTGAAGAGGTGAAAGAAAAGGAAGACAAAATCAGTGAAGAGGTGAAAGAAAAGGAAGGCATACCCAGTGAAAAGGTGATGGAAAAGGAAAACAACCTCAGTGAAGAAGTGATGGAAAGGGAAGACATCCCTAATAAAGAGGTGACAGAAAAGAAAGATGTTACTGAAGAGGTGATGGAAAAGGAGAATATCATTAGTGAAGAGGTAAATAATATAAAGATGATAGAGAGTGTAAAACAGGATGGTGAAGTAATGCATGACATGGAAGATGTCAGAGAAGGTGATCAGATAGACGAGGAGGATGGGAAAAAGATCGTGAGGGAGTATGAACTGGA